AGAGAGTGTTGTGTTGACGAGGGCACAGCTAAAATTCGTTTATAAAATCCTGAATTTGCTTTACCGACTAAATTTTCAGCTCGTTTCCGTTTTCCGCCGCCGTCGCCGCTTCGCAACTACAATGGTCGCAGCGGTCCAGAAAGTGGTGGTGGTGTGAGACGTCGTGCCAAAAGTCCCACTTCAGTACCATCTAGCTGCGAGAACTCAAGTCCGCAACAGGCTCGCGAAGTGGGCGGAGATCGTGGACGAGAGAGACGGGTAAGGGAGTGCCGCGAGAATCGTGATGAACAGAAGAGCACACCAAAAGAATCGTCAGAAGAGTCGCGTGGGTTTCTTATACTTTTCATTCGATGCCATTCACTGCAGTAGAGCTTTTGAGGCGAATAAGAATTCGATTCTCGCTCCACTGAATGTTTAGTGGGGTAGGTGGTAATTTTGAAAAGGAATAGGGAGAGAATTTTTCAGTACTGGCATCCTGCCACTTCTAGCGATTGCGACAACATTGTCCAACGAGGTAGCCGCGCGCTCTGCCGCGACCCTTATTTATAAAAACCGGTGGACTTGTGCCTGGTATTTGTAAAAACCGGTGGACTTGTGCCTGGCTCTAGCCGCTTTGAAAGTTGTATTTTTATATTTAATCCCACTTCTTGTTTAAGTGCAAATGTCTCCTCCCACGAAAACTGATTCATCCCGGCGTGATCACCAGAAATTTTCGGCAGCTACACCCACAAACGATCCTCGCTCGTCGGCACCACTTCGCAGTCTTCGTACCGAGGTTGGCTTAATTTCGTTCGATTAGCGCTCATTAACAAGCTCTACTATTTCAGTCAGGTCGCGTCACATATCCGCTGATATACGTCTCGCCGGCCGGCTCTATCTCCGTCATACTCGCACATGCCATTATCATCGAAATGTCTATCGATCGCTGCGTTCGCGTCGTGTGTCATGATAAGTTTGCTGTAAGTACATGATCAGATAACACCAACAACATCATCGAGAACATTTTGTGAAACGTTATATTCATGGCTCGGAAAGTTCTAAGTGGTGATTCCATTGCTCCACGGGCTGCCACTGGGAGCTAGCCGCATTAGCAAGCTGCGCTTATTACGGAAACTCGAATGCGGGTGATAGGCTGGCCTACAAACTCATCACTTAGTTTATGACACTCAGTAATTCCCGAGTTCATAGTACCGCTTCACCATCCTCTACGCTGACGACATAGCTCTGATAGCGGATAGCAGAGAGGAACTTCAAGCCAAGGTGCAGAAATGGCAGAAGTCCTGGCAGAAGGTGGGCTCCGGCTGAATGTCAAGAAGACCAAGTTCCTGAGCTCCGAAGAGGGTGCAGAGCCGATCGTGGACGGCCATGGTGAGACCATCGAAAGAGTGGAGGACTTCCGCTACCTTGGGAGCGATCTGGCAGCCGACGGTAGTGTGGATCAGGCAGTGAAGGCTCGGTCAACGCTGCATGGATGAAATGGAGGGAGTCCACTGGAATCCTCTGTGATCGAAGGTGCTCCAGAACGCTCAAACGGCAGCGAGTGCTGGCCCCTGAACAAGAATCACGAAAGGCAGCTTCACTCCGCTGAGATGAGGATGCTGAGATGGGCCTGCGGCGCGGCTGGACAGGGTCAGAAACGAGGATGTCAGAGCGGTCATGCAGACTGCCCCTGTCCAGCTGAAGGTGCGAGAACAGCGTCTGCGATGGTATGGGCACGTGCTAAGGAGGCCACAGGATCATCGAAGTGCAAGGCAAGCGACCGCGAGGAGCCCCAAAGAAGAGGTGGAGAGACGTGATCAAGAAGGATCTAAGTGAAGTCATGGCCACAGCAGAGAAACAGCGGACATTGCGACTGCGCGGGAATAACGCTAGGGAGAAGAAAGGAAGATAGTACCGCGTCAGTGGGAGTCGATGCGCACCCACAAAGCCAGGTGATTATGAGGAGTATGCGAAGGTCTCCGATGCAAGGCCGTGGTTTGGCAACTCACTTGGCAGAGTTAGTCCGAAAATCTCGCAACGTATGAGCACTGCGTTGTAACGTTCACTGTTGGTGCATTGAGGAGCTGGTTCATGGAAATAGTGGAAGGGTGGAGCTTCTCTGTGCAGTATAGGAAATGAGTTGGTTGTGCTGCAGATCGCCAATTGGCCAAGGCTTCGAGTCATTCTTTGTACAGCCAAGAACGTGGTCGGATTAATTGCTTCTGAACGAGATCAGCTTTCAAGCTGTGGATTCAGGACACAAAGTTGGATTGTCCGGCACCGCAACAAAGGGCTTGTGGCACAAACAAAGGTACCGCTACAAGACCGTACGCTAGAGGTAGCCTCCCCAAACCTAAAGTAATTGGAACGATGTGGACTTCCGGAATCAAGTGATAGCGAGTGGAGGAAGAAAAAAATTTTACTTGTTCACTTTGGTTGCCCTGGTTTTCGGTTTACTGCTAAGCTTAAGAAGGCGATGCCAAAATGATTACCCGCGCTGCTCTGTCCGAACCCGACATGACAAAGCCTGGACGGCGAGAAAACAAAGGGTGATCTGTAGTGACCGCAGTTCAATGAAACCTCACAGGTGCTTCCTTGTTTTAGAATGGAATATTTGCGAGAGCGTCAGAAGTGGTTGCCTCCGATACGAATTACAGCTCATGCTTCGAATTAAAAAAACCTCTGTTTCGGAACTCCACGCATGGAAACTTTTCAAAACGCAGAATCATACGGAGTTTATCCGCAATCTGCACGCGCTTTAAATGTTGAATTTCACTTGCTAGATCCGGCGCGAAACATCACAGAATGCTGTCGCTGAGCGTTCTCAAGCAATCATCCAGGTGTATAGGCATTTCGGCCGCGAAATGCTATACGAAGTTATACGATATGTATGAAATATAGCTCCAGAGCTGAGCAGGAGGAAACGAGCGGCTTGGGGAGCGTATAAGAACATCGAGGGAGTAGTGAAGAAGACGAAGAACATCCGGCTCCGTGCCCACCTCTTCGATTCCGCTGTCCTTCCTGCCCTAACCTACGCCTCAGAGACTGGCTTCGACCATTCCCTCTGCGTCAAACGGCCATGAGACGCACAAATAGGCTCTGACATTAGCGCGTACTAGGCAGCGATTATGATACCCTAACGAGCGGGCCTCCAAGAGATAACGGCGAGGAAACGATAGGCCTGGCAAACATTCTAGAAGGTGAGAGCCTCTTCGAGACTAACATGTCACGAAGACAATTCCTGAGCTACACGAAGAGGAGTGCAAGCGATCGTGACGGAACGGCAAGTGCAAGCGGGCAATCGGAGTTCGGATGGTGAAACGTACGCCATACGAAAGAGAGGAGGACTTCGCTACTGTGGGAGACCAACGTGCCATCTGTCACCGCACTACCGAGGTGGCGTTGATCTAGGCGAAGGACCGCTGAGTCTTATTTCGCGCTGGGAGCGATTTTCAATAGGAGAAGAGGACCGAAGATACTCAGCGTGAAGGATCCTCGTGATCTCAAACACGTATGGATCGGGAGATAGCTCGCTGCGATGCTCTACGGCAGCGAGTGCTGGCCCCTGAACAAGAATCACGAAAGGCAGCTTCACTCCGCTGAGATGAGGATGCTGAGGTGGGCCTGCGGCTGGACGCGACTGGACAGGGTCAGGAACGAGGATGTCAGAGCGGTCATGCAGACTGCTCCTGTCCAGCTGAAGATGCGAGAGCAGCGCCTCCGATGGTATGGGCACGTGCTGAGGAGGCCAGAGGATCATCCAAATGCAATGCAAGCGACCGCGGGAGCCCCGAAGAAGAGGTGGAGACGGACGTTGATAGCTAAAGATCTAAGTGAAGTCATGGCCATAACAGAGAAACAGCGGACATTGCGACTGCGCGGGAATAACGCTAGGGAGAAGAAAGGAAGTTAGTACCGCGTCAGTGGGAGTCGATGCACACCCACAAAGCCAAGGGGATTATGCGGCGTATGCGAAGTCATCCGAGCAAGCTGTGTTTGGCAACTCACTTGCCAGAGTTAGCCCGAAAATCTCGCAACGTATGAGCACTGCGTTGTAATGTTCACTGTTGGTGCATTGAGGAGCTGGTTCATGGAAATGGTGGAAGGGTGGAGGCTTCTCTGTGGCGTATAGAATGATTGTTGTGCTGGACAGATCGCTCAATTGGCCAAGCTGTCGAGTCAACTTCTTTTCGCCGGCCAAGACGTGGTTCTGATTATATTGCTTTCTGAACGAGATCCGCTTTCCGCTTTGGATTAGACACAAAGTTGGATTGTCCGGCACCGCAACAAAGGGCTTGTGGCACAAACAAAGGTACCGCTACAAGACCGGACGCTAGAGGTAGCCTCCCCAAACCTAAAGTAATTGGGAACGATGTGGACTTCCGGAATCAAGTGATAGCGAGTGGAGGAAGAAAAAAAAATTTTACTTGTTCACTTTGGTTGCCCTGGTTTTCGGTTAACTGCTAAGCTTAAGAAGGCAAGCCAAATGATTACAACGCGCGTGCTTCTGTCCGAACCGACATGACAAAGCCTGGCCAGCGAGACAAACAATAGTGTATCGCTCTGTAGTGACCTCAGTTCAATGAAACCTCACAGGTGCTTCCTTATTTTAGAATGGAATATTTGCGAGAGCGTCAGAAGTGGTTGCCTCCGATACGAATTACAGCTCATGCTTCGACGACAGTATGCAAAGTTCGTTCGCAGTATGCTCGACGATATCTACAACGCGGACCTTCAACCAGCTCGCGATTTTTTATGACACATGTAAAAAGTGATCGCCCAGGAGCACATTTCAATCTAATTTATCGTATAGAAGACTATATAATACGAAGAATGAACTGGCCCTCTTTCTCAGTTTTGTGAATCGTGACAAACGCAAAGGTGTTCTACGCGTCGAATTTCCCTCCTGCGGACAGTGCATCATCCGTCGGGTGCGGGACTTTTGGCTCGTCCAGGGTAGCACGCAGCGAGTTGCGCGGCGGGATGCGCGGCCATCCGGACGTTACGAGGCTTCGCGGTCACCTGTCACCTGTATCACATGTCGTCCCAATGATCGTCGACTTGCTCGAGCGGGCAACGTCTCCATTCGTCCCTGTCGCGTGCTAGAGTGGTCCAGTGGATCCTGCTCGCTCGATAGACACGAAGCCGCTCATTCCTTGCGGCGGTCGTCCAGGTGTTCCGTTTGACGTCCCGAGGGATCCAGTCGGTAACCGCTCTGGTCCAACGGTCATCGCAAAATCGCATGACGTGTCCGGCCCACCTTATCTTCGATTCCTTGGCGAAAACGGCAGCGTCCCTGATCTTCGATCGTTGGCGTAGTTCGGCACTCCGGATTCCCCTCTGCACTTGCGTGTATAGGGTTACTCCTAGCATCGTCCTCTCGACAGCGCGTTGGATAACGCTGACCGCATGCTCGTCCTGCCTGCGCAGAGTCCAAGTCTCTGAGGCGTAGGTTAGGGCAGGAAGGAAAGCGGAATCGAAGAGGAGGGCGCGGACCCAGATGTTCTTCGTCTTCTTAGACAAC